CTATCTATCTATCTATCTATCTATCTATCTATCTATCTATCTATCTATCTATCTATCTATCTATCTATCTATCTATCATATGATCAATAGCTGCAGTTTGAGACTCACATTTGGTTTTAAAAGTCTTTCTCTAATCAGTTTTTTGTTATTCAGATAAAAGCAGGCCTCTCTGCTACAGGACGTCTTTCAAATAGTCCAGAAATACTTTCTACATTATCGGTGATGTGGAAAAAATAAGTTCTTTTTAACTTTTTTTAATGGTTTAAATGTACAAGGCCAGGGCGTGAAACGTACACTTTAAAGGCATTTCCATGAACTATCTGGCATCAGCTGGGACGAGCTTTCCTCCTCTGCAAGTTCACTCCCCTCAGTCCTCTGTACCGGTTCGACTCGAGGGCCAGCTGAACATAACGCAGTACGAGGTCTGAAGGCCTCAATGGTAAATTCTCCCCAAAACGATTTGTCCCAAAGCGAGGTAAGGTGTTTTTTTTATTTAAATTCTGTGTTTAGTTCACGTAAATATTTCTTCAATTGTGAGAAACCATGCTACACAATCGAGCACTGATCCATGACAGCTAGCTTTGGCTAGCGTTATAGCTTGCCTGCTAGCATGCTAAGGCTCGCGCTGAAAACAAATGGAATCGATGGATTTTGTTAGTTACCAACAGCTAGCAGCTAGCTTTAACAAACCCCTCTAAGTGGTCCGAGCCGCTGGGCAGCATATAAGTATTTTCATAATCTCTTGAGTCAAACCTGTGAGCCGAATTAGTTTATCTATTAAGCGCGTTTTTAAAATTAAATGATAGTTATTCTCTATAGTGAATGCTGGCGTTAGCTTAACCTCCACTTTGTTTTGCAACGTAACATAAATATACTATAGCAACTGGTGGACCAAATTTGTAAAATGATTGCGGAGTACTTATCGTAAGCCAGACCTTTACACAAATACAGACTTGTCCTTTATGAAATTAGTAATAAGTATTATAATCACATAACAGCTGTTAAGCATTTTGAACTTTACCCAGCATCATTAGTTTTGCACAGGTAGTAGTAATTCAACAAAATGGTAAATCAGTACATGCCACAAGCCCTGCTTAGTATTTCAGTCTCATCTAATTTTTGTATTCATAAGTTTTATCTTTTCTTTTTTTAACCAGGTGGTACAGAGAAATGTCTGACAGTGCAGGGCTGCAGTTTGTCAGCTCTTATGCATTTGAAGCTATGCAGAAGGTGGATGTGGTGCGCCTGGCTGCTCTGAGTGACCCAGAGCTCAGGCTCTTGCTGCCTTGTCTGGTGAGAATGGCTCTGTGTGCTCCTGCAGATCAGAGCCAGACCTGGGCACAGGACAAGAAGCTCATCCTCCGCCTGCTCTCCGGAGTGGAAGCTGTCAACTCTATTGTAGCACTTTTGTCTGTGGACTTTCATGCTTTGGAGCAGGATGCACGGAAGGAACAGCAGCTCAGGTGAATGATATTAGCAATAGTTCTCATGAATTCATRTTTACCAGGGGTGTAACGGTATGCWTCCTCAATCTCTCTCTATCCTCACTACATCTACATCAATGTCCTCTCCAACTTCATCCATATACTTAGTTTCTTTGTTTCTTTCTTAGTTTTTTTTTTACCCCTTATCCTTCCTCTGCACATGTCCAAACCTTCTCAGTCTGGCCTCTCTAAACTTTATACAACCYGTGTTGTACTTCTGATGATCTTCTTCCTAATATTATACATCCTTGTCACTTCCAAAGAGAACTTCAACATCTTCAGCTCTACACTTCCAGTTTCTTTYTCCTGTGTCCTTGAGTTCATCTTTGTGTAATCACAATATTTTGCCTGTTCTATCAGACACAAGGCTGGTGGTTCCAATGGAGAGAGCATCTTGGTGTCACAGCTCCAGCATGGCCTCACCCTGGAATTTGAACACAGTGATCCCCTCAGGAGACTTCGTCTGACTCTCAGCGAACTGCTGGCTATCATGAATAAGGTAGCTAAGACTTACATGGCACAGGCAAAGACATCTTGTTATTTAAATGACAATACCCTAAATAAGTTTATAAAACATTATTTACGAGTAGTTTTATTGATAATAATAATTTCTATACCTGTCCATTTGATTAGAATATGGATTTGTTGCTATAACACCAAAGACAAGAAGGGATTTTAATAATTTATACTGATTTCAACCCGAACTGCTGCCTGTTGTGTAAGAAAAAGATGCCTGATGATKAAAGTATTCTGTTTGTAAACATAACTGCAACCAGAAATAATACACTGCTCAAAAAAATAAAGGGAACACTTATACAACACAATCTAACTCTGAGCAAATCAAACTTTTTTGAAATCAAACTGACCACTTAGGAAGCAACACTGATTGACAAACAATTCCACATGCTGTCAGTACATTCAACCTTGTACAGAACAAAGTGTTCAATGAGAATATTTCCTTCATTCAGATCTAGGATGTGTTATTTGAGTGTTCCCTTTATTTTTTTTAAGCAGTGTACTTTATTAC